GTTTCCGTTTGTCTTTGTGGTTTGCGTTTGTTTGTCTTGAATATTGCCTTGTATCACCCCTCGATGAGGGACAAAATAACGCACATGGATAACGCGTAGGTGGGCGTTATATACGGTAATTTATTTATTTATTTATTTATTAAAATTATTTTTTAACGCAAATGCTGCGGATGAATTATATGATACTGTATACAGTATACTGGAGGCAATACCCATCCACATCACCACATCACAATATGTATGTAAATAGTTTTTCATCTCTCTAAATAAAACGCTTTCTCAACCCCAAACGTATAGAGATCTTTTCTTTAAATTCTCATCAACATCAGTTTAACGTTGGAATGTAATTAGATATACGTTGTAAAAGGTGATGGGACTATATTCGTCATCTCTTGCCGTATAATATACGGTATCACAGGTTGAATCAATGAATATCGGTTGCATACCGGGAGACAATTTTCCCGATATGTATATAATATTGATCATGCATCGATTAATATCGTAAAGTCGTGTAAATGATTGGCTGACAGTGCCGCGCAGTGGCACATGTCAGCCAATCATTTACACATCATGATCATAATTCTCAAGTCGTGATTTGCGCGTGCATTTAAATAAGATTGTAATCCCTCTGAATTAGTGATTGGACCCGAGTAGGCGAACAGGACATGAAAAAAATAACAAAAAGAAATTTTTTCATGATCATAAGAGTTTACCAGATAACAGCGATACCTTGATATCTTACTCTTAGCACTCTGGGCTAAAAGTAAGATATCGGGGTATCCCAATGTTATGTTGCTGATATCGATCTACCTTACCAATAAGCATCCAATATGCTGCTGATTTTCATCAGGTATTTGGCGGATCTATGGCAGACTAATGGGTACGTATCGGGAAACATTTCTCCCGGTATGAACCCGATATTCATTGATTCAACTTGTGTATATTATTCTTAGATTATTCATGGCATTTACTTTTATTATTAATTAGCTCAATTTTAATCAAAATTTAAATTCTTTATGGATATTCAAATATTTCATTATGGTATTTGATATTTGAGATTTGAACGGTTTAATACCTATAGTTTTAGATGATAGTCCAAATATTACATTTTACTGATTCTCATTAGAACTTATGTTTTTATTGTATTTAGTATATCTGGTAAGTATAATATTATAATTTAAATCTATTAACTTTTAAATTTTAGATATATGCAGAATAAATATTACAAATAAAGTTTTTCTTCTTGACATAAGTCAAAAAATAATAATAATAAGTAATAGATATTTCACAGGCTGTTGTGAATATAATGGATTTCATGACCCACCGTGAAATATCTTTTATATCCCTGATTAAAATTTTACTGATTACGTCATGGCCGTGGAAAAATTTTTGATATTTTCATTAGGGCCGTGGGATATTATAATAATTATAGCACGGCCACTATTGATCATGAGTATTACACCATTTATATTGTTGTAAATCACTTTTTTTTATTTCGTCATTCATGCTTTTGCACGATGCATACATCATCCATACTTATATTGTATTGCACTATACGAATTTAAGAGGATTTAAAAAAACATAAATAGTATAATTTATGATCAATGACCGCCGTACTATATGCCAATATAGGGGGTGAGTCAATAGAAATCAAGCAAATTTTTTATAATAAAAAATTTTTATAACTTTAAACAAAAATAACTTAACAAAGACTTTACCAAATTAATAAAAAATCTTTTTAAATAATTTTTGCAAACTTGTAAATTTAATTTTAAAAAAAAATTATTAATTTGGTAAAGCTTTTGTTAATAAGTTATCCTTGTTTAAAGTTTTAAAAAAGCTTATTAAAAAATATTTGCTTGATTTCTATTGACTCAACCTCATAGCATGATAATTCTGAGATACATCACATTAGTACAGTCGTCCCTCGTTAATATCAACCCCGTTAATATCAACCTCCTGTTAATATCATCAACCTTTTATTATTAAGAACAAATATGCTTAAGAAATATAAAAACTATCCCTTTGTTATCAACCCTCGCATATATCAATATAATTGTCTAATCCAAATAGATTGATATAAACGAGGGATGACTGTACAACGATAATTTTCTTGATTATTCAGAAAGTGCCGCTTCGCGGCATTCTCTGATCAAAAAAATCATCACTGTTCCAACTTGATGTTATCACAATATAAAATAATGAATGGATTATCTCATATGACCCTACAAAATCGATTTCACTTATCGACTTCAAATTCCAACACTTTAAAAGATTCATCTTCTATTAATGTTAGTGCAATTATTGAAATCATATTTGGAATTGAAAGGGCTTATAACGATAATTAGTGATTGGCAATCGGCTGTTTCCCGCGTGGGATGCGGGTGATCCGCGCGGATTCTCGGGATTTATATTTCGGAATCTTACGAAAATGGGACCTTGACCTCGGAATATTTCGGATTTATGACACTGCCCGAATTAAATACTGTATTCCGCGCGGGATCACGCGCGATGCCCATCACTACTTATAATATTATTAACTAGATGTCTAGCATATCCCATAAAAAACAAAGTAACTATGTCAATTAAATTTAAAGAACATCACGATAAAGTGCTGTTCTACAGTTGAATATAGTTAACGCGATAGATAAGATTCACTTACGGTTAACTTTGTATAGCAATATCGGACCTAGTTTAAAAGAGTTAGAGGGTATTGGTAATTTTCAATAATATAAGAATGGCTAGCTCGATTAAAAAAAGTTGACTGTATACAAATATTGAAATTTTATAATTAAATAAATAATTATTAGAACTCATCGAAATAAAGGCAAAGTAATTCGCAATATCTTGAAAATTCTAATACATATATATGTAAATTATAGATGTTTATCATAAAATAGCAACATTAAAGCTTTAGACGATAATTTCAATTGTTAAATGCTTACTAAAAAAATCATTGGGTTATAACTAAATGCATAGTTTAGCTTCATCGTTACCGCTAATAATTCTGAACTTTAATTTTGACGTAAGTTACATTTTTTAATGGGTTAGTATCAACTTCTGTTATACATATTATTAAAAGATGTGCTAATTATGTTTAATATAGAACGAGATGAGTAAAAGACGTATAAATAAACTATATATCGAGCCAGCTAGCTCAACAAATTTTGTTCGATGAAAAACGAATTCGAAAATGCACACGTATTCAAATGAGTGGATTATACTTTATCATGTTCAGAATCAATGGTTTGATTCAAAGCCATGTACGTACGTACTTACAGTAGAACGCTACAATTGCAAATCAACACTTTTTTTCATTTTTCTTCTAAGTGTCTGAACATACACTGTCATGTGCTTTTTCTCTGTGAATTTTCTTTGAATCGTATTTGTTTGCGCCGATTGCTCTATTTGAAGACTCTAAAGCTTTAGTCAATCCTTCAAATAATCCTCTTTTACTTTTCGATCCTTCGAACCTAACCCAAATATCACGTTACCAGAATCTGATTGGATGTATGATCTACTACTATTACTACTATATTTAGAACATTTGCGGTGGATTTAACAAATCAATATTACATCACTTTTTTTTCTAAATATAAATATAATCGTAAGTACACCAACGAAGAGTTATATTTGGAGTGCAATAATTAGGATATGTCGCGGTGCGATTACGAAATGTATACATATGACGCTACATTAAAGATACACAATCGGCTCTAAGGACGCCCAGCGATTTCCAAATTCAGCAGTAAGTGTATTAAATAGAATATAATAATTTAGAATCCGTATACCCGAGACCAAAAAATATAAATATTGCATGGATTTGGTTATTCCCAATCTTCAGTTCAGTATACCAAGGAACAAAAAAAACCTATATCTGAATTATAAAAGCTTATAACCATAAAAAAAAATGAATAAAGAATATCAATCCAGCTTCTTGGTTAATAACAAACTAACACCCCGTGTCTGCGCTTTCATAAATTCCGGAAACAATCACATGATTCAAAATCAAGTGATCGACAATCCGCGACAACTTGTTAAACTTCCATTTCCACCAAAAATCAATTCACAAGATTTGGTTATTTTACATCCTGATGGTCGAATTCCCAAAACTCCTAATGCCTTCATCATTTATAGAAAATTATTTTTTGAAACTGCTCGTACTAATGGTTACAACTTGCCAATGAATATTATTTCTTCAATGGCATCACAATCATGGGAACAAGAATCAAATGAAGTAAAAATTGAATATAAGAGAATTGCAAAAGAAGCTTTCAATTATCGTAATGAATTATTTCCTAAAGTGAAAGTTGAAAAGAAGAGAAATCAATGGAAAATGATTTCATTCGATAAACCTTCTACTCGTAAAGTTAAAGTGCCTAAATCTATGAAATCTACTAATAAAAAATCTATTAATAAATCCATTAAAAATAAACAACTCGAATCATCTACCGTAGAGCCTGAGCTTAATTTGTTTCCTGAAACAACTGACGCCAACAATTTAAATAATGAGAATTCACAAATCTTAAATCTTGATTTATTTGCAAATTGGGCCGATTTCTTTGATAGCCAAAATGGTTATCCAAGCCCCGATTTATCAACAATTTCTAGTGGCTACACACCTAATACTAATATCGATATGACTGAAGAATTCGAATTCGACTTAGAAGTCTCTGCGCAATGCTTTGATAGTCAAAATAGTTATCCAAGCCCCGATTTATCAACAATTTCTAATAACCACTCACCCAATATGATTGAAGAATTTGAATTCAACATAGAAACTTCTACACAATGCTTTGATTTACCAGTTCAACAAGACCAACAAGTCAATATTAATGAAAATCAATATGGACTTGGAATTTTTGATTTCTCTAATGAAAATGAAAATTTAGAAACCATTCAAATTTTCGATACACAAAACGTATTTAACATGGTTGATGATACACCTTATTATCAATCATTAAGCACAACAATAAATCAAGATTATTTAAATGATGCATTAATTTCTTATGAGATGGGTTTTGATTATTCATTTTAAAAAAAAAAAATTATACTGTTATGTTATAAGATTAATATTTATGAATTTAACACATAAATTAAGCTTTATAAGATATTAAATACTTTCGTTAAATTATGCAATCAGAAAAATATTATGATATTTAAAAACTTATGTGCAACAATTACAAAGAAATATTTATGATAAAATTATGAACATAAAGAAAAAACCAAAGTTTAAATATATATATAGACATAGACTTTTTTAGCGTAAAACTTTAATAATTTTTTTACTTGTATAATTTTTTACATATTTAATATAACGTTTTCTAAAAATAAAATAATCTTAAAAATTAATTATATAACTGACCATAGTCAATTTACGCTATAAAACTATAAAAATGTGAGAAAATTTCTTCATAAGAATGGCCTTTTCCACAACAAATATATAGTAGACACAGCGGACACCAATCCTGTAACCGATTTGGGACCTATTATCATATACGTCGATATAAAAGTGTTATAAGATTATGATGGAAGATGGAACTAGTTAAGACTCGTAATAAAGAAAATAAATGTCCTATTTTATTTTAATAAAAAAGATTCATGATTATTTACTAGCAAAATTACAACGCTTTATAGGCTGGAACCTATCAATTGAACTGAAAACCAGACATTTCGAGAATTTCAGAGTAGCTCCAGTCAATTATCTATCATGTGAAAAAAATATTTGCTAAAAATAAAAAATGATCGAATCCGAAATATCAAGGATAAAAAGTTATGTATTGTTGATTGTTGTATCATGTTAACCCGTCAATAAATGCATATATGGAAATGAAAAATTTGTGAATAACAGATAGTTTTTACCTTTCATATAATTAATAGCGCGCATTCAATTTTAAATACAAATATATAAACACACATGCATAATTCGCAAAAAAAATAAAAAACAATAAAAAAGGTTTGAAAAAAATGAATCCCTTTGGCAGCAAAATGAAAACATATTTTATTAAAAAAAAAACCATTTACTGTATATAACCTTATTACAAATATATTCGTTTGCTTCCTTTATATTCATGATTTTTTTTCTTACATTTTTACGAAAAGTAACGAAAGATAAACTTAATACCGAAAGGTAAAAGCTCACTAAACTTTGTCATATCAACATTCTTATGTATGAAAAAACAAGTCATAAGACAACAAGCATAAAAAATAACAATATTCTATCTAATTTATTGGAAAATTTATAAATCAAAATGAGCAAAGGAAATAATGTAGCCAAATAATAAGACAGGTCCCAATTCATATAAGCACAGAAAAAAAGATTTATCGTTGGTGATATAATGATAATAATCTCTTTCAACCATGCTAAAAATGTGTTCCATCGATTATTAATAATAACTTCTCTTTCTTTCCAAAGTTCCCTGTCTTTATCTTCTCTTTACCTCCAATAATCTCGGTTTTTATCTTCTTTTTCTTTCATATAATTTCTATCTTTATCTTCTTTCTCAGCTTGATACTTCATAGAAATGCTATGTTTCGTAATTTCTAATCGCATATAATTGCTTAAAATATTTGATGACGAGAATGCCTCTTCATTGCTCGTAATCGAGCCTCTATTATAAGTGGTATTAGTAAACCTATTAGGAATAGGTGCTGTATAGGCTCTTCGTGGTGGCATATTTCTGAATTATGAACAAATTCCGAAGCGTAACAGCTTAGATGCAAATTTATGTAATGTTTATCTGAAACAACCAGTAAAATTTAGTAAAATTCGAAAATTGAAGGTTCTGCGTTCAGTGTAACAATGCTTAATAGAAGATAGTTCTCTATGTTACACTCATGCTCGGTTTTTAGTATAAGATTTAATGTATGAAGTTTAACTTAGTAAAAAAAAAACTCTTTCCGGTTCACCCCTGAAAATCATTGACAATAGTAAAAAGTAAACAAAATCTTTGCAAGTTTT